GGGAGGGGCGCGGCTCTCGCCCTGGGGGGACCCTGGGGGGTCTGGGGGATATTTTCTGGTGGCTGCATGCAGGCTCTCAGGTGGTCTGTGGCAGCGGTCATGGGTTGCTGACCCGGTGGCCTGACTGTGCTGGGGTGGGTTCGGGGTTGGCACGGGGAACTTTGGGTTCTGGGGTCGTCCTGGGCAGGGGGGGGTGCAGCTCTCGCCCCGGGGGGAGGGCCTTGATAGTTCTGTGGGATGCCTTCTGGTGGCTGCATGCAGGCTCTCAGGGAGTCTGTAGTGGCGGTCATGGGTCGTTGACCCAGTGTCCTGGCAGTGCTGGGGTGGGTGCGGGGGGCTTAGGGTTCTGGGGTCATGCCGCCCCTGGGCTGTGGTCAGGGTGGGGCTGGGGGGGCTTGAGTTCTGGCAGGCGGTTTGCCGGGCTCTGGGCTGGTTTGTGCCCTGGTGCCTGGCTCTGGGCAGGGGGCCTTTCGTGTGCTGGTGGGCTGCGGGTCTCATGAGCTAGGGGGTTGGGCTGGCTGGGGGTGGGGCCTGTGGCCTGTGGAAGGGGATAGGTAAACACAGCCTGGGTGTCTAGCGTGCTGAGAAGATAACTTTTCTGAGAGTTATCTGAATCATGGGGTGGGTATAGTATTTCTTCTGGGGTGAGGGCTGGGTAGGTGGCCTTGGTGGYGGCCGGGAGCTGTTCTGAGTCAGCTGGTTGGCCCCTTTGGTGTGGCGGAAGCTTGCTCTTGGTCCTCCTTGTGCAGTCGGCGGCTGGGTGTGCACTCTTGGCTGAATCGTTCTTGCTGGGGTTCGGTAGCTTCTTTGGGTTGCAGGCTGGATGTGGGGCTGGGGGTCGGGTCTTGGAGGTCTGGATGGCTCTGGGGCGGGTGACTGTTGGTCCCGGTTTCTGGCGGTCCTCTGGGCTCTGTCTGTCCTTGTTCTGGGGCTTTCCGGGCCTGGTGGTCTGTCAGGAGGAAGATGTATTGGGACCTCATTCCCTGGGTGGGTCTCAGCAAAYGGAGGAGCCTACTGGGGTCAGCGAGGGAGCTGGCTCCCTGTGGGAGCATTTTGTTCCCTCAGTCATTTTTTTCTCCCCATCCTCCACCATACATCTCCACCMTCTTCATTTTCATCTGCACTCATGTAGGGTTTTTGGGCTACAGGTGTGTTACAAAGAGCAATAATTTTAAATCTCTATTTGCTATAACCACCTGGGGTCCATTTTTACTCTACACCCTTGACCAAGGGTGCCCAACCAGTCGCTCGCGGGCGACTGGTCGCCCGCCAGCTGGTTCCCAGGCGCCCGTGAAGTGCAACCTTGCTACGGAGCCTCTAGCGCCAGCTCTGAGCATCAGATCTCAGAGTGGCTGGTCTTATTTGAAAGCTTTGGTTCTGCTACAAGGTGAAAGTTGAATGAAGTCCCTGCGATGTTCCCCCGCAGAGCTATAAGCAAAAAAACTCCAAAATGTGCACCGTCAGACCTCTGCCGGGGGTGGTTTTAGCCACCCTCCCCAGGTTAGGAGGGGAGGATCCTGGAGTGGCTGATCGGGTTTTAAAGCTCTGGTTCTGTCCTACAAGCTGATACTTGAATGGAGTCTCTATGACGTTCCCCCGCGGAGCTATAAGCAAATTACACACGACTTAGTACATTTTATGCACATTTTTGGGAGGAAATTTCAACCTTCGTTTGCTTCTCCCACGAGYTCTGAGCATCGGATCCGGGAAAGTGAGATGACTTTGCTACGGTCCTCCTCTACAAACTGCAGGTGGTTGCAAGTTCCTGGGACATTCCCCCGCGGAGCTATTAACCAACGACTGGCCGAAAAAGGCACTTTGGCGGGCGATATAGTACTCAATTTACTCCGGAGCCTCTAGCGCCGGCTCTGAGCGTTGGTGCAAAGGAAGAGGAAGAGAGGAAGGAAGCTATCCAGTGAGGTGGAACCGCGGTCATGTGTCCAGTACCCGCTCTTCCGCCTGGATTTAGCCAGAAACCCCTGGCGGGCGATACTTCTGCAATATTGCATAAAATTCAGAAACCYACCTGATGGATCACTTTCAGACAATAAAAGGAACAGATCTGKTCAGGTGAAACCGGTCCTAGAAGCTCAKCACCAGGTTTTATAACAGCCTGCCCCCTGAACCACTGGCAGGCGATATTTCTGCAATAATACATAAAACTCAGAAACCCACCTGATGGGTCTGTTCCAGGCAATAAAAGGAACAGATCTGATCAGGTGAAACCAGTCCTGGAAGTTCAGCACCGGGTTTTATAACCGCCTGCGAGAGACTTTTATATTGTGTGCTTTGACTTTGAAAAAAAGGGCGGTACTCTTGTGGTAGCCATGTTGACCCTGATAGTTTTATGTTTTGTTTTTCCTCCCCTGTATGCAGTGGTGGAGAAAGTAATCAAACACTGTATTTAAGTAAAAGTACAAATAAACAGACAAAAATATACTCTAGTAAAAGTTAAAATACCACATCAACA